GATGGGACCCAGAAGCCTGCATATGAATAAACCATTGGCCTGAGCCCCACACCGGGGGAATTCTGGAGTGAGGAATTGGGTTGCAGGGATAGTGGGAGGTAGACAAGGGACCCGGCAGGAAGAGAGGCTGCAGAGAGGCAGGAATTCATCCCTCAGGGGTCTAGGGGAGGCAGTGCTGTGTTTCAGGTGACAAAGCCATGTCCACTTGACTAACATCACTATGATTTGAAGGGGATGGGCCTGGGCCCGGTTGCAGGAAAGCGGCCAGAACAGGACAGGTGGGGGAGGGGGTGTTGGGAGTGAGGACAGAGACATAGCAGGGAGGGTCCTGAATGTCAGGCTGGGCTGGAAGGGGATGGGGAGGCCATCCTAGGACCCCCTAGGAAGGGGGCTGATACAGATCAGGGAGCAGGTCTGGCTGAGTCTGAGGCACCTGTGGGACAGTCCAGTGGAGCTGTCAGGAAAGCCAGAAAGAACTGCGTTGTCATCGGCTCTGAGGTGGTAACTAGGCTGCGAGAGGTTGGGATTTCTCTTTAGCGGCCAGACGAGGTTGCTCATGCCTGTAATCCCCGCACTTTGTGAGGCCAAGGCAAAGGGATCACTTGAGCCCAGGAGTTTAAGACCAGCCTGGTAAACACAGTGAGATCCTGTCTCTACAAAAATTGTTTAAAAATCTAGCCAGGTGTGGTGGTGTGCACCTGTAGTCCCAGCTACTGGGGAGGCTAAGGTGGAAGGATGTGTTGAGCCCAGAAGTTTGAGGCAGTGAACTGTGATCACACCACTGCACTACAGCATGGGCGACAGAGCAAGACCGTCTCAAAAACAAACAAAAATGGTCGAGGACGGAAGGATGTGCCAGAGAGGGGACAAGTCAGGAGGGTGCTAGGCCTGTGGCATCTGCTTAGGTAAGATATGCTGCAAACGCTGTTTCCAACACTGGCTAGACAGAGGCCTGATGGGCACTTGAGAAAAAGAATCAAGTGTGCCACACATCAGCATCTAAGAAACCCTCTGTGAAGGTGGTTCTATCTGTTGATCACAATAAAAAAGTGATTGTGGAGAATTCATTCCGGTTTCAGATGAATCATGCTATAGGTAGCCCCTTAGCCCACTGGCTGGAACACTGCTTGGGGACTACACAGGAGCTTTTGAAGCACGGTTCTCTCCAGAGGAGCAGGGGAGCCCTATGGCCCTAGGTGTGGCTGTCTCCCCGAATTCCTGCCTTGTCAGTGAGGCCTCAGGTCTCTGATGTTCTTAATCCCTTTTTTCTCTACCCAGGCCCCTATGATGGCCACGTACCAGGTGGTGGAGCTGCGGATCCTGACTAACTGGGGCCACCCAGAATATACCTGCATCTACCGCTTCAGAGTGCACGGGGAGCCCGCCCACTAGCCCTGCTTTCTGGTGCCTGCTGCCAGCCATCTGGGAGTAGGTGAACAGCACCTCACCGCTTCCCCCACATGCTTGCTCTGCGCTGTGACTTCCAGGAGCATGAGAGAGGAGCCGGTGGCCCCACGGAGATGAACAGGATAAGCTGGGTCTCCTGAGTAGCAGGTGGCTCGAGGCGGCCAGCAGCCTCCAGCAGCTCCCTTCTCTCCATGCCAGTGGTGTCTGCTTCCCCTCCTGGGAACGTGTATATATGTAGCATATCATGGGGTACTGGGAAGTTGGGAGAGGTGAGACCTGGCTGCCGTTACCTGGGGTCAGGGGCTGGTGCCCAGGAGCTGCTACAGGGAGGCCCATCGATGAAGCAGGTGTCAGGGCTGTCAGAGGGGTGAGCTAGGGCCTGGGCTAGGTGAGCTGCCCCATGCAGGGAAGCAAGGCCCTCTGGGAGGAGGGTATTCAGCTCCAGGGCAGGATGGGACTCTCCCCAGGCAAGAAGCGCCTGATGTAGGGGTGCCCTCCACCTGAAGCCTGAACCACAGGGTCTCTGAGGGACTTCTACAGAAGCGTGTATTTGTCCCGGGGACAGTAGCAGTGGGTCATGGAGCTTCTTGTGCCATAACGGGGACTAGCTCCTGTGAGCTTCTAAAGGGCCCAGGGCCAACCCTGTTGGCTTCCCCTCTGCTGGGGACAGTAGTTGCTTTTCTCTCCTGATGCTGGGTTGGGGCCCACCCTGCTCCGCATTCCTGCTGGGGCCTGCCAGTACCCTGAGCTTGCTTTCCACATTCTCCCGGGGTACAGAGACCCAGACCTGTCTTTGGGGCCATTAGCATCTGGGGTTAGAATAGTGGGGAGCATGGAACTCCCTGGGCTCTGTGGGGACATTCAGGGTATCGGGGTGGGAGGTCTGTCTGCACTGGCCCCCTTATCTAACCAGGCTCTGGTGTAGAGGCCCTCTATTCAGGCTGCCCCCTTGGGCTTTAGCAGCCCTTGTTCAGGTAGTCTCCTTTCTGGTTTGTTCTCTGTGGGGCAGTTGGTGGGGGCTGGGGGCAGAGGCTGGCAGAAGTTACCCTGGGTAGGGAAGGGGGCAGAGGGGACTTTTAGAGCCAGCAGGCCCCACTGTATTATGTATATATTTTTCAAGGTCTGTTTTTCTAACTGAAAAGCCAAGGGCTTGGTTCCTAGCCCCGTTCTGTGGGGCACTGGGTGTGATACTCAGTTCCTTGTTCCTGGCAATGGAGGGGCTTGGGGCACTAGTTCTGGCTGTGTTCGGTGGTCTGGCCATGGGGAAGGGGCAAGAGGGCAGACAGGCCCCTTCACTGCAGTGCTGAGCCTCGACCCGCTCTGGAGCACAAGGCTGGACAGTGGTGGTCAGGCCGCCCCTGCTCCATCCCCAGGCAGCCAGGCTTTGTTTTGTGCTCTCCTGTCACAAATGCTGCACTATTGGTTCTTAGGTTTTTTATCTCCAGATCCTAATTTATGTCTATGCAAAAAATAAATGATGCCCAGGAGCTGTGGGATGTGGCTTTCATGTGGCCTTTGCACCTCACCTGGGGCAGTTGCAGGAATGAATTCTTGGCCAAATGAATGTCCCCAAAGACTTACTCCTAAAGTTCAGACACCCACACCTTTCACCTAAAGCCCAGTTGTGGTGGTGGATGGGACCAGAGGCAGGTCTCATCCACTGTTTGTGGGTCCAGGGCTGGCACGAGGAAGAAGTGAGGTGGCTTTAGTAGCTGTCATTGATAACCCCATCACCAAGGATGGCAGCCAGGGGTGGGGGGTGCTTTCCTGTCTCTCAGTGCCACTGAGCAGAAGCAGAAAAAGTTACACTTACCTACTGGCCATGTCCACTTGGAGTGCAGTGATTCTCCTCCATGGGAATTCACTACTTGCCCCTTGGACCTGTGGCTGGAAGGGACAAGGAGGTAGGGCCCTTGAACAGCCAGCAGCTGCCAGCTCAGGGGGAAAAATAGGCCCTGACCTTTCCCGCAGACAGCTCCCCAGATATAATTCAGGGTGGTTGTCTAGCCTGACTCTGGAGTCTCTCATACTGACCTGTGGCACCTGGCCCAGGGCTGGTCCTCATCATGGCTGAGCAAATAAAGGCAGAAACCCAGTCAATAGGAAGGGCTGTGGAGACAGCCACGAGACAGGGACTGGGGCAGAAATCCAGCCTCAAAAGCCTTGGGCCAGCTCCTCAGCCTCTTGGGAAAGAGCTGGTCCTGTGCTCACTCCCCTTCACTAACACCTGCTCTGCCTCTGGTGCCATCTCAACAAAGGAGACATCCCTGAGCAGCACCGATAAACAAGTCCCTGGAGCCCAGAGCCTGGGCTAGGCACGTGCCCTCTGCCTGTCTGTATACACTTAAATCCTACTGGGCCTGCACAGCACAGCCCCCACACCGCCTGCTCCACGGCACTTCCCCCAACCCAACTCAACTTGCGCTGCCCTGTGTGTGGCATACTCATCTGACCTTCTCCGCCAGGAAGTCTGATGATCCGGGACAGTCCTGACTGTGGAGTTAGGGATCTGGCCATCCCCATCCCACCATCACAGGCCTTACCCTGGGAAAGACGCCTGTTGCACACACACAAGGGTCAGGCCTTGCCATTCCAGGTGATTGGATTAACAATTTTATTCTGCATTCACTACAAAAGGGCTGGTGTTTTGTTTCAAATGTTTAGCTGGAAGGGCTGTAGGGACCCCTGTTAAACACAGTAAAGCATGGTTCCAGTCAGCCGCCTGCTGGCAGGTGTGGGCCTGGCAACTACCCAGATCCAACCCCACCCTCCTGAGTGTCTGTGGCCAGAGGCCAAGGTGGTCACCAGAGCTCCTGAATGCCGAGAATGGTTCTGGCAACTACTGCTGTTTGTAGGGGCAAAGAGTTCAAATAAAATGAGGTTCTGCCATGGCTAAGTCCTGTGGAAACCCAGACCCCAAAGGCCCCTGCCATGCCGGGGGCTCAATGCCAGAGGCTTATTATGGAGGCACCAGCAGGCAGTGGCCCCTGTAAGCAGAGCTGGGACAGACAACAGGAGGGAAGCAGCCAAGAGACAGAAGACCGGGCCGGGCCAGCAGACACACAGGAGCAGCTGCCTGGGAAAAGCCAGGGGGCAAGGCTGGCATGGGAATGAACAGCTGCTGGTGACACTTCTGAGCTTCAGTTCCCTTAACCAGAAAAACAACAAACATCGACTCAGGCGGCCGCAGGGAATGTCAACAGGAGCGCACGAGACCCCTGACAGTCCTAGCTGCAGCTCTCCCTTCGAGCCTGCCCAGGGCACAGAGGTGGCAGGGTGGCTAACAGCGTGCAGACCGCTCACTAAGGGAGCCCTTCCTGAGTGCAGGATACCCCAGGGTCTCACACAACCTTGATGTACTGCTTTGCCTCAGATGAGGAAACAGGTTCAGAGAAGGTTGGTAAATTTGTCCCGTGTCACCAGCTGGTGAGGGAGCCTGAACACGGAAGCCACACCTGCCTGACCAGGGAAGCTGGCCTCCTCACAGCACTGCCCTGCTCCCAGCTGTTGCCAGGGGCCCCAGGACAGGCAGATCAACTGTGTTCCCATGGCAGCACCTCCACGTGGAGGGCTGGGCAGGGAACACCACAATGTCAACTTGGAACAAGCTTTTATTTTGAATGCTGATCAGTCCATGGCCAGGGGTAGGTGGTAACTAGAAATGGCTGGAAGGAGGGGAGGAGAGGGGACCAGCAGTCCGCAAGCAGGAGGAAAGGAAAAGGTTGGGGACAGGAGGAGGCAAGGCTGAGGAAGGACCCAGCCAGCTGGGTGTCTGCCCCAGCTACAGAAGGAACCACCCCCACCCACCAGCCTACCCTACACCTGTGGCTTCAGTGCAGAAGTCAGTCCAGGTGAGTTCAGGCCCATGCCACCATCTCTGGCCTGCACAACCCCACTCCAGGCAGGTGTTCTTCCAGAGTGCTAAATGCTCTGTGCTAAGCCTGGCTACCTGCCCTCCCCACACTCCAGTTGGGACTTTCAAACATGGAGCTCAGGCCTTCACTACTATGCTCCTGTAGCAGCCATAGGGGTGACATGGCAGGGAAGAAAGAGCTCTAGTCTCAGCCTAGCTCAGGGGAACATCTCTCCACCCCTCCAACAGGAGGCGCTGGAAAACAGGATCCTGAGCAGACCCAGGCCCCGATGTCTGACGACCAGTGCCCAAGGCCCAACAAGAAGCAGGGTGAGGGGAGGCTCCAGGCCCTGCAGATCAGGAAAAGCTGAGGGCAGCCAGGGCCAGCCCAGGCAAGTGCAGGATTGTCTCCAAGGGGAAACCCACCAGCTGTCTTTGCATCGGTGGCAAGGGTCAGGGTCAGAGTCTGGGGTGGGGAAGAGTCCTACAATCTCATTGCCACTCCCCTCCACACGTCTACAGGTTACAACCAGAGAACTTTTGGCATGACCTGTTTGGGGGTTTAAAGGGAAAAAGGAGGAGAGAGAGAAAAGGGGAAGCCACTACCTTCTGTTAAAATGCCCAAGTCCTAGACTGGGGGTTCCTGCTCCAGCAGCAGCAGACACCAAATCCCAGAAGCCCCCAACCCAGTCTGCTCCACGAAGGGGCCCCTGAGTGCCCAGAGCAGCAGCAAGATACGTAGGGAGGGCGGCTCCTTCTGCTCCCAACATCCCCTGACGGCCCTGAGGATTCTGAGAGACAGACACACAGGTGGGCAGCCATGGAGAAGAAAGGAGAGGCTGAAAGGACCCTGGGGGTGGCACTCCACCACACACACACACACACACACACACACACAGTGAACAGAGAGACAGAGACATATAATAAACACAATAAAAACTAAGGGCCCAGATGTACAAAAAATGTGCGAGGAAGAAGGTGGGGAGGAGAGTGGGAGATGGTCAGTCCTCCAGAAGTCTGGCTGCCTTCCTCAGCTTATAAATTACAAACCCCCTGGAAAATGGGGGTGGGGGCAATGCAGAGACTCTGGCTGTGGCCCGAGCAGGAGGGCTGGGTGGCGGTCATAGCTGCTCTGCCCATCTGGTGGAGCGGTGGCCAGAGTGTGAGGACCCCCTGGGTGGTAGGGGTGGGCCAGGGGAAGGTTCAGCAGCCGCTGGCAGGAGTCACACAGGCCCCCTGGGACTTCACCTTGTGGCGCTGGCCCCCTCGTCGCCGGCCTCCACTGCTGGGTTTTGGCTGAAAGAAAGAAAGGAGCTTGAGAAGCACTGGCCTATCAAGAGCAGGGCCAGAGAGCAGAGGGGCTGGTGAGAGGGGGACGGAAGATGTGTGAGCAGGTAGTGTGGTCCTCACTCCAGCCTGACCAGGAATTTACTGGGTCATTCTGCAAGCAACATTTCCCCTCTGTTTCTAAAATGGAGCCAGTGACTGCCCTGCCTTCCTTAAAGGGCGGGTGGGACACACGTGATGAGAATGTGAGAGGCGGCCGTTCAGAGAAGCACAAAGCAGAGCAGGAGAGAGAGGAAGCAAATTAACCAGAGGAAAACCCAATGGGAGACAGACAGCAGAATGGACAGACAGACCCAGGATAGCCTCCTTTTCCAAAGGGGACAGATGGAGAAAAATGCTGGGGAGAGGGGTGCAAGGGGGCACCACGCCTTCATCACTCCAGTAGAGAATGCCTGCAGGAGAGAGCTGGCAGGAGAGGCCGAGTAAGAGCCGCACCAGCACATCCCAAGGCCACCTCCCCTTCAGGATGTGTGCATGTCAGGGAGGGGACAGAGGAGGATCCTCTAAGGCAGTGTCTCTCAAACCTGTTGGACTGCAGGGCACACATACATCACTTGGACACTCACACAAGCAATACTTGCAATACTTACTATGAAAGGGAAGCTTTGACATTTTTCTGTTCTATTTTATTTCATTAAAACCAAATGCTAGTTAGGGCCAATTAAGTTGGTTCCAGGTGGGCTATATTCCCTGGTTTGGAAAGCACTACCTTATAGCTTTACAGACAAATGCCTCATACTTAGGGGCACTTAAGTGACAGAGTTGTTGAGGAGACCCTCCAGCCAGGCTTGAGGCTTGCCTACATGTCACCCTTACCAAATCACAGTAAAAGCCACAGCCCCCACCACCATGCCAAAGCCTCGAGGGGCCCACACTCACCTGAGGCTGAAGATTGCTGGACGCAGCTGGTTGTCCAGCCCCTAGAGAGGAGGCTTCATCTCCAGGTGGGGGTGCTCCTGCTGCTGGCCCGCCAGATGGGCCCCCCTCATCTCGTTTCATCAGGGGGCCCTTTTTCGTCGACTGCATTTTAATCTGCTGGGGCTTGGAGTTCATCGGGGAGTTGTTGGTGGTCTGGAGGAGCTGTGGGAGCCATGGAGGAGGACGAGGCTAGAGCTGTAGAGCAGGGCCATTGGCTTGGCTACCCTTACCCCCAACCCCTTCTCCAGGGACTCTCATTCCTTGCCCTTGCCACTTCAGGACAAGGTGGAGGGCAGGAAGGCCATGAAATGCCATGAAGAGGCATTCTCATCCCCACTCAGCAGCCCGGGACTGCTATGGCCCTGGGGTGATGCCTCACTTCCTGCCTCTGCCCCGCCCAGAAAGGCGCCTATTATCTGCTACAGGTGCTGTTCCTGCAGAGAAATCTGTAAACTTCGCTCCCACCTCCTGCTCAGTCCAGCCCCCCAGGTCCAGAGCCTGCCAGAGCCTGGCAAGTGAAGCTCTGGGCTCTCCTCATTGCTAAGCTGGTGGAGACTCCTCAGAGCATGAGCTGCAGCTCCAGCCCCAGGACCCTGCTGCTGCCCCCGTGACAAGAGTCTAGGGCAAGTGTTAAGTCCAGGCCTCCCAAAGAGACCAAGTGAATGTCTCATCAGCTGGAAACATTTGGAGTTTGGCTATTCAGAAATCTTAAAAGCTGCCAGCCAGAAGTAACTGCCTTGAAATCTTCCCTTGTGGCGCAACTTCTATCTCATACAAAGCAGAAAGAAGCCCAGTGAGTCCCAGAGGACATTACAGTGTTTGCTGCAGCCTTAGCCAAACTCAGCCAGTCCCAGGGGCATGCAGGCCTTCAAGGACATCTGCAACCCCAGGTTGACCATCGATGGGGGCCTTTTCTGGAGCCAAGGCCAGCCGAAGACTGATTCCAAGATCTCAGACAGGCTGGGGCCAGTACCTCCTTTGTATGGAGCAGGGGTCAAACCCCTCTATCAAATGCCTCTCCCCAAGACCAAGAGCAAGGTCTGCAGAGGGCAAAAGGTAGGTCCTGGGACACACAAACAGCATAAGCCCCAAGAGAACTCAGGTCCATAACCCCTGCATCGTCCAGCACTCACTCCGACCAGACCTCTGCTCTGACAGGAGACCTTAGACATGGCCCCAGTGAGGCCAGAGGAACCCATGCCAGCACCATGGAGGCTGAGCCTGGCAGGGCCCAGACATTCTGTCACCATTTTCTATGGAGGAAGGCCATACCCCAACCCTACTTCTCCTCTCCATGGTCACCAGTGCCCAGGACAGGAGGCCACAGGATACCTCTAAAGGAGTAGAGAGATGGCACCGAGGCCACACCTCAGTGGGTCCAGCTCTCCCAGGGTAGTGACTAACCTCTGCCCTGTGCTCAAGGTCACAGAACAGGAGTGGCCCCTGGTGCTTCCTGGAGGCAAGGCAAGGTCTGCCCTGGCCATACCTTGGTGATGGTGCCGACAGCCTTGGTGCGGCCTTCCCGGAACACCAGCCGCTGGTCTATGTGCAGGTACTCAGGGGTCTTGATGAAGCGGAAGTGTACAGTGGCCTTGTCCCCAGTACGCAGACAGTCCTTGTCCATGCTCAGAATGGTGGCTGTCTGCCTGATGCTCCCACAGTGCACTGTCAAGGGAGCCAGAGGTCAGAACAGGCTGGAGCCACCTGGTGGCTTCCAGACAAGGGGAGGCAGTGAGTGAAAGCATGAAATATGCTTGAGCTGTGGAAGGGTGAGGGCTTATCTCTGGGGCTACAGACCCCTGTGAAGCCTGCTCTTGGCTCTGATCCTGCTCTACCGTCTACCTTTTTCTCCAGCTAATGCCCACCTGTCATCCCCCACCCCCAGGCCCTGTGCAGACAAGGGACTTAGTTCCTGGGATTACAGCATACTCTGCACATGTGCCTCCTTGCTGGACTGTGGGTTTCTGTGGGGAAGGGTCCTTGTCCATCTACCTCATCTTTGTTCCCGGCATCTTAGCAACACCGCTGGGCACACAGCAGTGTTCAGCAGACACTAGCTGAAGGAATGCATGTGAGGTCCTTGAGGAAAGGTCTGGGTCTCAGAGCCCAGCCCTCACTGTTTGTGGGAGTGAATCAACTCTGTGGCTCATGGGTAGAACAGAAGGAACAGTATCACTAAATAGGAAGGAGACCCACCACGCAGCTGCAGCTGGAACTGGGGGGCTTGGGTTGCTGGAGCACCTTCTGACGGGAGCTAGCACCAGGGCCTCCTGGGCTGGCAGGGCCTCAGACACCTACCCATGGCCTGGTAGCGCGGGCTAATTGTGGTGGGGTGGTGGAGGACGAGAATCTCGGCCTCAAACTCCCAGGAGGCTTGGGGATTCAAACGTGGGGAAACCATCACCATGCCCTTCCGGATGGACGAGCGCTTGATCTGAAAGAAAGAGGGAACCCCAGCCCTCAGGGACAATGATGCCTTCTGGTTTCACCCCTGGTCTCAGGGACCAAGAGTCTCTCTAGGGGTAGGGACCACCCCAACTCGGCCTGGTTTCCTCACCACTGGACCACAAGCCTTCTAGGGTGTACAGCAGGAGCAGCCTCAGTGCTCCATGGGAAGAGTCAACACTGTTACTCGGAGTCAGAAAGGCTTCATGCAGGCATTAGCACTTTAGCTGCTGGGCCATGAAGGATGGATGAGGAGGCAAAGGCAGGCAAGCATTCAGGGGGAAGGAACAGGTGAGCATGACCTGACCACTGTGGGGAAGGACTTTTCCTGGTTAACTTGGCTGGTGGGTAAGGTAGGTGACCCCAGAAATAGTACCTACCCCAAACCCCAGGAGACAGAAGGCTGAATGGAAAGAGGATTTGGCACAGATCCCAACAGCCCTACATAGAAGGATCCTTGCACAGCAGGGATACTCCTATCTGACCTTAAGATTGAGCTCAGGGCACCGTGCTCAGGCACCAGAGGGAGAAACAGAGCTTAGGAGGCAGGTAGTCCTCACTCTAGCACTTCCAAGCTGTGTGTCTTGGGCAAGTCCCTGGGCTCTGAGCCTCAGTTTTCTCATCTATAAAAATGAAGCCAGTAATCTCAACCTTGCAGAGCAGCCATGAGGACGGGAGTGGGTGAGTGTGGCATCTGGCCCAGAGCCTAGCATAATGGAGTCTGAGGGGAGTTTTCAGTATCATTGATACTCACCTTCTTCAGTGCAAAGGATGCTGTTTGGCCACCCCGCACCTCCTTGACAGGCATGCGCTTGCGATGGATGGATTTTACAGCAATGGACAGGAAGTTACCCAGGGGGTCTGGGCCCAGCAGCAGCGTGTCATTCAGCTTGATCAGACCTCTCAGTGTTGTCCCCGACACTACTGTCCCCACACCCTGCCAAGGAGAAGACCCTGGCCTCATAAGTCCATCCCCAGCACAGACCCCACCCCTTGATGCACTGTAGGATGTGTCCACCCAGCCACCTGCCCAGAGCCACTCACTGGGACAGAGTAGGTGTCATCGATCTGAAACTCAGCAGGCTCCTCCTCCCTGTAGCTGGTGCGGGGGGAGAGGAGGTTGAGGAACATCTTCAGCAGATCTAGGTTCTCGCCTGTAACATTGGAGATCTGGAATATCGGGCACATCCTAAGCAGAGGGAGAAGAGGAAGGAAGAAGAGCTCAGGAGGCCAGCTCCTCCCCTGATACAGGACAGGGACAGCAAGAGGGCTCAAGGAATAGATGCCACTATTAGTGACCCTACCCCTCCCTCACCTGCCTCCAAGGGCTTGACCTCTCTGCCCTAACCTAGCAAACTCCTGGCTACCCTGCTCTGAGGGCTTCTTCTCTCACTCAGTTCTGTCTCTGACACCTGTCCTCTCCTCCCTGTCCTCCACCACTGCCCTAGTTTGGAACCTCATGACTGCTGCTTCCTCAAGCACACGCATGCTTGCTTAAAACCCTTAAGCACCTTTCCACTGCAGGGAAGACACCTGAATCCCTCTCCCAACAAACAGCCTTTGTGTGGGCTTGTAGGCATCTCTGCAGATTCACTTCTTGCAAACTCCTACATTCCAGCCACACTAGGGAACTTTCCCTTCTCCTAAAACCTTGGCACTTTTCTGCCCTTATGGATTTGCTCACTCTGACCTTCCTTCCTAAATTATTTCCCTTTTACTGAAATACCAGGCCCTCTCACCCTTCTGAGCTCATCTCAAATACCATTTCTTCCATAAATCCCTTCCTGGATGGACACTCTCAACTCCTCTGAGTTCCTGGAGAGCTTTTTTTCTGTTACACGTGATTGCATCTGGTTTTTCAGAGTCCTGCAAACAGTCTCTATCACTCCTATTTAGGGTGAATGAATTAAAATCCTTTAGATTAGGAATTAGACATTCCCCACAGCTCCTAGAATAGTGCACAGAATAGGCACTGGAAATATGAACAAGCTCAAATGGGGCTGCCTGAAACATGCCCCCTCTTCTGGCCAACTGATGGTACTGACGATCACATCAGGGCAGAGGCATAGGCAAAAAGCCAGGCTGCTCTGAGCGAAGAGGCAGAGTTCATAGAGTTCACCATTATCAAGAGAACATCTCTAATCAAGGAACTGAACACTATGAGGACAAGGACTGTGTTCAATTCAACTCTGAATCCTCAACATCTAGATGAAGAGACTGGCAGAACAAACATCCGATAAATATTTATGGAATGAAAGAATACATAATGAGTAAATGCCAAACCTGATCTATGATTAGTGAGCTTTTGGGGAACAACAGTATAAAAACCTGAGTTACAAAAATGGCTGTGTATCTGCCATCATCAGCCAGGCACAGCGCTAAGTGCTCTGCATGCTTCATTTCCAACATTCATCGGAGCCCTACAGGGAAGGGAATGTTCTTCCCAATTCACAGATAAGGACACTAAAGTCTCAGCCAGGATGCTAACCTCAGGAACGCCAGCACCTCACAATCTGGGTTACATGATATAAATGCATGGGAGACCCTGTGCTAAGATCAGAAACTTCTATTTCCACCAATCTCTGAATAGGAAGAGGTGTTCTGATGTGCTGTTTTCATGAGACCTCATGCCCAAACCGACAGCCATTCCAGGCCCATCACTCACTATGGTCCTGCCTGCAGGGGTGCCTGCCTGAAGTGTGCGCTCCCCACCCATTACCTTTCGGAGCTGAAGTTGGAGGCTGTGACAATCACATCATCCTTGCTCTGCACCAGCACAGGGATCTTCCGGCAGCCTGGTGACTTCAGCAGGCGCTGTAACAGCTTCAGGGTTTCTTAAAGGGTGAAATGGAAGAGAATTAGGGGGACACAGCCTTCTCTTTGACCAGGCTTCCAAGGCAAGATGGGTCCACTCATTACTGACGCAAGCAGGAGACAGACAGATAGACGGACCAGTGTTAAATGCCACAATGCCTGGAGAAGCAAAAAGGAGGATCGAAACTTTGGGTGTGCTAGAATAAGGAAACCACGGAGAGGCCTTCTTTTCTAGGGTTCTGCAACTGAAACCTGGCAGATTTCTCTTGTGTCTAGATGACCTGCCTCCTGTAGGCATGTGACCTGAGGGTCCCCAAGAAAAACAATGCAGTTCACACTTCAGTTCTCAGAATGCACTACTTCCTGGAAAAAAATCTCATCCAACAAAAGGATCTCTTAGACATTTAGGAGACTACAGAGACCCTTATTATGAGGCCTCCCAAAGGGATACATTTCTACAATCTTTAGCAGTGAGGGAGAAAGGCACAAAGCCCTGGTCCTGCAACCCTGTGTCAAAGCTCTGGTAGTAGCAGGTCATTAGACCCTCTGTCCAAACTTCCCCATATATATCCAGCTTAGCTGGTAGAGCCCAACTCCTTCTGCCTGGCATCACCTGAAAAGAGATGCGAGATTCAGGATCTCAGGAACTCTGCACTTGGAACCGGAAGGAACAAGGAAGAGGATAATTCTAGGCTGTGCTCAGACCAAGAACTAAATAGGGGAAGAAGTAGCAAAAGATTCTGGGCTGATGGAAATTCAGGCCAAGATCTAAGTACAAGACAAAGAAAAGACATTTTACCCGGGGCACCCCTGTGTACTGAAGACAGCAGCTGCTGTGGGAAAGTTGCTCTGAGCCTCAGTTGCCCGACCTGTAAGTGCCATTCCTTGGGGCATTTCTGCCATGGCAGCCCTCAGGCCTGCTGCTTCTGGGAGAACAAGCTTGACAAACATATTACAGTCTGGTTCTGGTCAAGCAAAATTCATTAGCACCAGGTCCTCATGTCATGCACCTGCTGTCACCCAGCATGTGCCCTATTTCAAGTATATAGCCACTATCAGTGGAGAGTTCAAAGACCTAAGCCTTGATGTTTTAAGGGGGAAATATTTGATGATTTTCATCTATCCTCTGGATTTCACTTTTGTGTGTCCTACAGAAATTTTTTTTTTTTTTTTTTTGAGATGGAGTCTTGCTCTGTTGCCAGGCTGGAGAGCAGTTGCATGATCTCAGCTCACTGCAACCTCCGCCTCCTGGTTTCAAGCAATTCTCCTGCCTCAGCCTCCCAAGTAGCTGGGACTACAGGAACAGGCCACCATGCCCAGCTCAGAAATTGTTGCTTTTAGTGACAAAACTAAGGAATTTCATGATGTGAACTGTGAAGTTATTGCGGTCTCAGTGGACTCCCACTTTAGCCATCTTGCCTGGATATATACACCAAGAAAGAATGGTGGTTTGGGCCACATGAACATTGCACTCTTGTCAGATTTAACTAAGCAAGTTTCCTGAGCCTACAGTGTGCTGTTAGAAGGTCCTGGTCTTACATTAAGAGGTCTCCTCATAAATGACCCCAATGGAGTCATCAAGCACTTGAATGTCAATGATGTCTCAGTGGGCTGAAGCATGGAAGAAACCCTCTGCTGGGTGAAGGCATTCCAGTGTGTAGAAACCCATGGAGAAGTCTGCCCAGCAAACTGGACATGGGGTTCTCCTACAATCACGCCAAATCCAGCTGCTTCCAAAGAATGTAAATCAGTAGATCACCCATGTGTATCTGCACCTTCTCACCCCAGAGAAGAACCACAGTTGAAACCTGCTTTTATCATTTTAAAGATGATAATTTGTAGAAGGCAAGGAACCAATTATGCCTATATTCATAACTATTACTCTAAATGTTTTGTTTCTGTAATATTGGCTAAGGCCTTTTAAACATGGTTAGTTGCTAGTATAAGGAATCCCTTATTGGTAACATCTTGTTGGCTGGCTGGCTAGCTAGCTAGTTTCTACAGAACATAATTTGCTTCTGTAGAAGGCAATTCTTAGATCATGTCTTCAATGGAAACACTCTCCTGTCTTAGCCTTACTTGAATCTTGCCTACAACAAAGTAGAGCAACACACATTGAAAGCTTCTGATCAAGGGTCCTGAAATGTTCATCTTGAACATCTTTGTATTAAACTGAATTTTCTTTTAAGCTAACAAAGATCACAGTTTTCAGTTGTTATCAGCAGTCTAATTTAACTCCTGCAATGAATGTTTATGTGACTGAAGCAAATGTGAATATTATTTTAGAAAGTGGCAGAGTGACTGATCATGCATGATCCCTCATCCCTGATATTTATAGTATATGTAGTCATTTTTCTTATTTTATTCATTAGCTAACTTTGTCTATATATATTTCTAGATATTGATTAATGTAATAGATTATAAAGGATATTTATTGGATCCAGGGATTACATTTTGAAATTATTATAATTATTTTCTTTGCTGAAGTGTTTGATGTCGAACATATGATAAAAATAAACGTATTGTAAAATTAAAGAGAAATAATAAAAAATTTTTAAAAAGGAAAGAAGTTTAGTAGGGACCTCTGCCTCCCAATCGGAGGAGCTGCTGCTAGCCAGAGGCCTCACTTACCTTGCAGGATGTTGGCAGGACACATGTCAATCTTGGTGACTACCACAAAGACAGGTACATTGAGTGCCAGTGCCAAGCCTAGGTGTTCTTTGGTCATCCCCACGATGCCAGCATTGCTGCCCACCTGCCCCAACACAGAAAGAAACTGTCACGATGAGAGAGAAAGAGATTGCTGCTGGGTGGACACAGGGGCTCAAAGGCAGATGTGGATGCGAGCTGGGCTGGGCAAAAATCGCTTTAACCCCTGACTCAATGATGTGGGCTGTCAAAATAGGAGGAGAATAGCAAATAATAAAAAAGATAAACCCAGTCAAGGAAAACAACCGTCTTGAGCCATCAAAGTGAATCCAGGACAGGAGTGGTGGCTCATGCCTGTAATCCCAGAACTTTGGGAGGCCAAGGCAGGCAGATCACTTGAGGCCAGGAGTTTGAGATCATGCTGGGCCACCTGGTAAGACCCCGTCTCTACAAAAAGACACAAAAATTAGCTGGGGGTGGTAGCATGCAATGTAGTCTCAGCTACTTGGGAAGCTGAGGTGGGAGGATCACTTGAGCCTGGGAGGCTGAGGCTGCAGTGAGCCGTGATCGAGATGCTGTACTCCAGCCTGAGAGACAGAGACTCTGTCTCAAAGAACAACAGCAACAATAACAACAAAAAGTGGATTCAGCTTAACATCCCTTGCCCTGAGTTTCCCCATCTGTAAAATGGGGAGATAACAATATCCACTTCAGAGGGTCACTTGATTTTTAAATGTCATAACACACATGAAGCGTCCAGCACACAACCATCATGAACTAGGTGTTTAAGCAATTGCCCCCGTTATTACTGTTACTATCCTTCCAGTAACAATAAATGTTTCCAAATATCACCGTAAAGACTGGTTACATAAATCAGGGCCCATGTATAAAATGTGCTGTACAAAAGAAAGAATAAATTCTTATCTACTGATATGGATGAATCTCTAAGATATGTTTTTAAGAGGGGGGGAAAAAGCAAGATATATATAGAATGCTATCATAAAAAGAGGTGAGTGGTTAGCTGGGCATGGTGGCTCACACCGGTAATTCTGGCACTTTGGGAGGCCAAGGCGGGTGGATCACCTGAGGTCAGGAGTTCAAGACCAGCTTCGCCAACATGGTTACACCCCTTCTCTACTAAAAATACAAAA